GTATTTTCGCCATGCGTGCACATAAGTGTAGACTATTATGTACTGAGATATTATTATTGTTGTGCCTGCTAAAAAATAAAGATGACATACCATATAAAAGCCTGAATTATTTTTTACGATTTCCAGGTTTGTTTTACGGCGTTGGATAGCACTATAAAAACAAACAGCTATAACTGAACGGGGTAAATAAATCGTTAGCGGATCAACAGATTTTTGGATCATTACCAAGTTGAAAGTTGCCATTTTGGCCCTAACCAGCAATCTGTCAGTTCATATGATCGAACTCGAATGTATTTCGTACACTGTTAGTGTCTGATGTGTTGTTTATATACTAGGCAAAAAAAAAATACAAAAAATAGCCGTACAGATTATTTATAATAAATCGTACGAGTTTTCTATGAAATACACTTGACTGCTTTTTAGAGCTTTATTAATTTCTCGGTAATATTTTTGCCAACAGCAATCAATGGGACTCGTCTAAAAGTGCTAATATCAACACCGGAGTTCGTTTACAGAACTACCATTAATGTAAACGGTTGACAGATAGCATTATGGCAAGCAGATCAATAGCAATCATAAAAACCATTTCGTCTGGCTTTGGCGGTATCGTCATGATGATATCATTAACAAGTGTCATTATCATTAGGAATAAATGTATTTCCCGGAAATGGCTGTGTCGAATCAACTCGATTCCGACGTTAAACGGCAGATGAATGATGATAAAATATTTTCATAGCATCGCTAAACTAACACAACGTCTTACTCGAACCATCCCGAAATTAATACCTATCGATTTACAATCATTGGACTGCTCAAGTTTTTAGAGTTCCGACATAATTTGAAGCGTTTAATTACACAAGTGTAGAAGTAATAATCAAGTACGGAAACGACTAAAGTGTGAACGCTATGAGTCGTGTAAAACAACAATAGATATTTTCCTGTACTTATTGATTGAGCAATGTCTGTACCACAGCGGTACTCAATAATAGACAATGGTTAATATGGTTAAAAGTCAGCATCTTAAAATTTATGATGCACTGTTACCGCCGGTGTCGTGTTGTTGTTCTTCCAACAGATTTACAAAAGATTCAAACGTAACGCATTATAACAACTTTCAAACAAAAAACATTGTCCTTAGATTACACAAGTCTGGTGTAATGATATTAAATAACAATTATATTTATCCACGGTGTATAATTGCAAATACACAATTAGGTTATAGAAATTAAATCGTATACTCTTGAGTACATTTCAGTTTACTAGTACTGTTATTTTATTTTACACGATTAAATAAACCAGCAGAAACTAGACCCACTTCTAGATAAATATTGAGAATAAACATAATTTGTAATTATATTTCCAAACAGAACTTTCTATTTATTCAAGTGGTACTTCATTCTTTTATCTTGCCTTTTGTCAGAACTTTTTATGGAAACTGCTTAAAATAAACAACTCTATATGAAAAAAATATCTTCTATTTAACATGAACTTCTTAGGAAAAGCAAATATATTTTTACGTCTTATTAAACTTAATAGAACTCAGAAAGCTCGTGTTGCGTTTTTATAGTTTAGACGCAAAATCACCTTTTGAGAAGCTTGGTAGCTCTTGTTGTATCTGAAATAAATGTGTTCAGTTGGGTCATTGGCTATGTTTATTTTGAATTATTCAGCCCGAGATCTTGATTTGCTTTAAGTATTGAGTTTAGTCGTTTATGCGTGTCTTTAGTATCATTTTTCAAAAAAACATACAACTTTTTGAAATTTAAGATCAAAGGTACATATATACCTAACAACTTTTGTATGAACAAATACTCTGTTTTCATGGAATGTTTTCCTTTTCGTTTAAACTTTGGAATTAGCGCTATTTTAAAACCGTTGTTTAAGTTCAAATATAGAATACTTAAAAAAGAAAGTTTAAATTCACAAACAGATCTGAGTAAATGTGTGCGATTGTTAGCGTAGATGATTCAGATGCCAAAAATACAATCAAGGATTAAGAATATAAAAATAAAAAGGTGGAAACAGTGCGTGCGCTATTTGCGATTTGCTGCTAAGTGTTTTTACAAGTTCTATAATACCTAACATTCTTATTCTCAATGACAACCGTGTGCTTTCAGTATATATTTAGTTTTCACATAATACAGAATTAAACTTATTCGCTATATTAATAATGCTTATCTGTCACATTGAAATGTCTTAATTAGTATCATTTTTTTCAACAGAAATTAGACGTATAATTATTTCAAACTTTAAATAGTAAAATTTATAGAGAAAACTAGAGTAAAGAACTATACGGGATAAAAGTCCATAATTGAAATAAATAATTTTGTTTATAACTATTACGTACTGCAAATAGTGCGCAATTTTAGCTCAGGTTATTCTGGAGACAAGATATTGGAAATTATATGCATACAGTTTTTATTTTATCTTCAAGTGTGTATTAAATGACACATTTTGCGTATCTCTCTGAACAAAATAAATACGAGAAAATCATTATGCACAGCTACAAATATTTATTTAATTATGACGGCGAACACAATTTTGACATGTTGAAAAAAGTGCACTAGAATATTAAACGCAAATTGAAATGTGATAGAACTACGTTGTACAAATGTAGGAAACGTATACCAAACGTTTATAACAATAGATAATGTATGAATATTAGTAAACATTTGAACGAGTATTATTTCAAGGTACATTATGTAGGTTAGCTTGTTATCTGTGAGATGCAACTGAACCATAAAAGCAGCTACCGTTAATGTTGACGACAATAAAAAATATGTATTTGGAATTTCAATTTTGATTTACGTTTATTTTATGAAATAATTCACTTAAAGTTTAATAAAAATACATTTTTCATAAAAATTTAAAATTATGCTGATTAATATTTAACCTTGCGGTTCATCTAAATCTTTTGAATCTGCAGCCTTGGCTAAATGCGAAAACACTTCAATCAACTCTTTATATTCTATGACTATTGTAAACAGATTTAAACAAAATTGTGATGTTATTGATTTGAAAATTGTTTTACTACCAATAGTTTAATGTATTGTTTGTCCAGTTATACACAAAACATCTCATCATACAAGTTCAAACATTATACAAAAACCTATTTTAAGATATAAATGAGTAGGCACTTGATCGTTGCTAAATAATCAGAAGTAACATAATCATGTATGCGCTTGATTATAAATCATTTGAAAGGGGAAGTAGTAATATTTTCTTAGGGAAGGAGCATAAAATATTACGTACTGTAATCATAGACCATATAGAAAAAAAAATGTTGGTGTGTATATTTGTAACTTATGAATAAAAATTGTTCATAAAGATTCAATTTATTTATTCCAGTATTGTTTTACAGTTGCATCAGTTATTTTTAGTTTTGTTTTAACAGTTGTTTAACAATCAAATTACTCATTCGAAAATATTTTACCGTTAATTTGCACTTGTATGTGATGCTTATAATAGTATAAGTGAAACTTATTATTAAAAATGTAAATTGTTATTTTATTATTAAACAACTATTAATTGTAAAATATTAATTTCAGCTTTTACTTATATTTTATCTCAAGGTAACTAAGGATAATATATATTTTCAAAATATGAATTTAATTTATTTTAATCATATTACTCTAAGTATAATTGAAACTTTTTTAGGTAACAATAACAATACTTAAATGTTGTTACTTCGAATTTTATCTTAAATAAAAATTCTTGTGTCAAGATATTATTTGACTATTTACTTATGTTTAATATAACACATTGAAATATTTTGTGTGGTGATTGTTTAGAGATATATAAATAGAAAGTTTTCATTTTCAATACAATATACCTGAAACAAATGTTTCAGAGATTTGTTTACTATTTTACAAAATAAAAAATCTCATTTTCTTTTATTCAGTCTTTGATTCAACCTTACATGATCTCTACTTTGCCAGGAATGGTTTGTTGATTTTATTTTATTATTACTTTGAAAAATATAGTAAAACTACCGTTCATTGACTATTGTATGCATAAGAATATGTACATAGTACATACAAGTGTGTACCGTATTTTTTTTTTGGAAATGAACGCCGTTAGGTATATTAATGAATTTCAAAGAATTCTAATTTAAAAACCTCGTTGATGGTCGTGAAAAAGTTTAAAAGTTCTAGGTATACTTTTCATTTTTAAATATGTTTGAGCAATTTGAATAAAATCAGATGCGCGCTTGTAGGATAAACATTAAATGATCATATCACGTAGTCTAATACTTAGATCTCATGTACCGAAGCAGTGGGTAGTGATGAACAATTTTTTAAAAGTACCCTATAAACAATTGAAGAGGCTCGTGAAAACTCTTCCACTCAGTCCACTCATGAATGTGATAAGTAATCATAGGGGTAATTTGCTACGTAGAAGAGTAGGATAGAGCTCCCAAATATTATAGTTGAAGTTATCAATTACAAGTGCTCGTATACATATGCTATTTAATTACTGTTTTAACGTGATTTACTATAAAAATATCAAAAATACCCAATTTTCAACAAACAGGTTTTTAAAAAAAGTAGCTATGTTTATAGCCGCGCCTAAAATTACTATTTTTTTTGACCGTTGAAAAAAAATCGTTCTTTATAGAATCATTTATTGTTCGTCGATCATTTATTGTTGTCAGTAGTGTATAATCTTCTATTACGGCGAGACGTTTTTCGTATTTAAAATCAAAAACGTAAACCGCATCTGGGAAATTATAAAAAATATCATAAGGTTATTACCTAACAAAGTAGTGTCGCCCGAGGATGAAAAAAAAAAAAGTTTAATTTAAAAATGTATCAGTTGTGATATTAGTAGAAAACCGACTAGGGAAAAAAACACACACACGTTGTAGGCAGTAATTGAAGCGCGTGTAAAAGGTACGTTGCGCGGATTCTCCTCCCCACTTGTTCTACCGACGCCGTTCATTACCACCGACACGGCCACCTCACACACGTACGTCGCCGCCGCCACCGGCAATCCGTTCCCGAGTTCGGTCCAGCCACCCAGTCGTCAGTGGATCGTTGCGCTCAGACGTCGCTGGCCGTGTGTGTTTATGCGCGTTCCTTCGTATTGCGGCCCCGCCGATCTCTTATTTTCTCAACACTTTTCTCCGTGTTGACAGACAACGCCGGTCTGCTCTATGACGTACAACCACTTTAGATAATAATTCATTAAACTCGGCTTCGTTTTATTCGTCCTTCCAAACGGAAAAAATCACACTTAAAAAATATAGCGAGCTCATAGTTACCGATTATATTGTTCTAGCGGTTCGAGTTATTATTTACAGTAGTACTTATTATATAATATAGTGATATTTATGAAAATCGTGAGTTTCCGTTTGAAATAATCGTTTTATTGATTAGAATTTAGAGTGAATTTTTTTTTTTTTTTTTGGAAAGCACCTTTTTTGTTTGCTTTGAGCTTGTTATTGAATTTAAACCGAACGATTTGTGATAACACGGTGAAAATGAGGACTCTAGTAGCCGTTACGTTTGTAGCGGTGTTATCAATTTTAATTTTTGGCGCCAACTCAACTCACACTATTATTACTCCGAGTAAGTTTTATTTGAAAAACATTTTATTTTTATACAATCAGACTTTGGATATTTTACTGAACCCAATGAAACGTTGCAATTAATCGACCGTAAGATTATTGATGATAATTTTAGATCAGGAAAATCTAATACCGTGTTTAAGAATAACGTAGAAGAGGCATAGTGGTAGTTGATAAATATATCATAATCGTGTTACCTATGTACCTGTAATGATAAAAAAATAATATGGCTCAGTAAACCGTTATTATCATCTTGCGGATTCGTATAGTTTTAGCAGCTATGTTGACATCATATAAAAAATAACTACTAAAAAGTTTGTGTTATCTCGTTTAACCGGGAACAATTGTTAATTAATACTTAATGTAATTATACACACAGTTAATTAAAATGTTTATTTTAATTGGTTTGATAATTAAATATGGTTTAAATAATTGCGTACCCCATCAACACGGTACTCGTGTGCCTGTGATCATTCTGTACATTCACGTTGCCCGAAGAATAAGATACACCTGGTCGTTGAATTCGTCGATACACGTGTACAACAGCCCACACATCATTTCCCGCCGTTTCTCATATCGCGTGGTTCTTATTTTACTTATTTCGGACCTATAAAAGGGGATTATATAACTGTTTTTAGGTATACCGCCAATAAAAGTATGCCATTTCCAAAAAGATGGACTAGAATAAAATAAAAAAAGTAAAAGTCGATCACTAAAACCACTAAAACATTTGATGGGCTTGTAAAAGTAATGTAATCTCGATTTTATTTTATATACGGTCAGAATAGTATTCGCATGCATATTAAGTTAAATGTATTATACATTTGTTATATATGAACATGAATTAATAAATTCTGCTTCGGCATGTCGGACACCAAAAAAAAATGTTTGTAATAAATGCCTAAAACTAGAAATATTTAAATAACTGTACACAAATTATGAGTACCCTTCAAATCGACTCGGTATCTTTAATCTGGACACTTTGAAACTTTCCTTTGTCAAAACAAATTTAACTTACTATAAAATGTCATAATAATTGGCCAAGACTTGCATTAATATGACGTTATAGATCGTTTTATTTATCAAGTCAAGACGAGTTGATTTTATACCTTGAAAATGTTTATTTTTAGAGAACTAATAATAAATCTTTTCAGCGCAAAAACGTGTACGAAAACAATATTTTGATCTTTAAAACATGTCAACAACATAAGTTTTTTGTCAACATTTTTATTAGTAACTTGTTGTAAATCAACTTCAATTAAGTAGTTATGATTTGTAATTATTAATAGTACACATAATGCGCAAAACTTGTGGTAGTTGAAGTATTTTGTTCATTTCTTTTGTTTCAAAAACAAAGTTTAATTATAATACATGAAGTCTAAACACAAATTATTGGAGTCAGTTGAAATCTGTGCTTTCATCACCTGTTCTATGTATTATCTCTTGTATAATTTACATTGTTTTTGTTGTATTTTTCAATTACCAATCTGACGATGTCCTGTCAACAAAAATCGATTGGTAAACAAACGTAGAGAATTTTATCTAATACGAACATTAACATTGAAAAAAAATAATAGTAAATAACGACTTTACTAAATCAAGTAAATAATTAGTGTATCGTCAAATCGATTTTGTTACTAGTAATTAAATAACATCATTGAAAATTACATAATAACGAGTTATGAATGAAAAATAAATACGAATGCAACTAGCGATTTTAAATACAAATTCAACATTTTTTATACGGTTAAATGGTCCTTCGTAGAAACGTTAGTTTTCTTAAGTTTATATCCTGAAATTCTCGGAAGGAAGTTGTGCTACTTTTTTCCTCTCGTAGCCTTTACTTACCTATACTGTTGCAGTGTATAATACAGACGTCAGAACGTTTTTTTCCCATTACGTGGCTGATGTTATAGAAACACAGATCAGCTCTGCCTGCGTCTCCAAAGGCAAGTACTTCATCAATCACCGTATTTCAAACCGACAGTTTCCGCCGCCAACTACTGTTTTCGCCCATGTAATTCAACATAAAAAACATTTGCGGGCGAACACTGATAAATATTGTGTGCGTTTTATTTTTCCTTCGCGTTCACCGGTAAAATAGATATTTTTTTTCAAAATGTTGTAGAGGACTAGGAGATTTTTTTTTACACATCCGGCCGCACGGAAGTTTATGTCATGGCAATTTGGGTTGAGGTTCACGGGATGCAAATTAAATAAGTCACCGCACGTTCCCAGGATGATGTCGATTTTTACCCTCCGCCTACGCCAGTGTCCTGACGGGTTTTGTTTATATGCAAATTTCGTTATGAAATTTTAAACGGACTCTCTTTTTACCCGTCTGTCACACTCATCCTCCATTGGCCAATCACGTTTCGTCACTAATGCCACTTTCAAGGGTCGCTGCAGTATACGCGTATTATAATAACCGATAAATGTTTGACAGGCCTGGACCGCGTAGCGTCTCACTCTTGTTCAATTATAAATATGGATTACATGTTATGAATAAAAATATTTATTTCACATGAATTTATGTAATATTCAATTGGCATACCTGCTGGACGAGTATTATTAGACCTCGTACTTGCCTTTATTCATTTAATTTCAAATTTTGACTGCGAAATGCCAAAGTGACATTTTTTTAACAATTATGCGCATGTTTGTATAACAAATATTTTGAATGTGATAGTTTTCTCATTTATATACTTACCCTAATTACGATTTTTTTTTTTTTAATCTATTCGTAAATGTAATAAGAGTATAGTTTTTTAAATTTCTATCGGATGATATGAAATGCGATTCACATTTTTGCAACGAATAACAACAAAATGACGACTAATGTTGTTATTTTCAAGAATATAATTGTTCATCTCTATCTGTAAATATCTGTACACGACGCAATGATAGACGTTTATTCATTCGTGAAAACAAAAAAATCTCTTTTTGTTTACATAATTATTATCATCTTAAATTTCAATGAGTATTTGTCGTGGACGACCCGTCTAATCAATTTACCACCAAGTTATTACCTTTTTTGGAGCTTTTCTTTTTTGTAACTTAATGAGATTTAATTTACATTATCCAGTGACTGTAACATAATTAGTGTTTTTTTTTTTCAAATGCTGTTTGTGAAAATTGAATACTGTCCACGGGGTTATGTAAAATGGGATTATCCGTTATTATTATAATATGGGCGGCGACGCCTAACACCGACCGGCGGGCGGAAAGCGAATATTGCATTTGACATTGTTAAACTGTTTTTGCTGGAAATAATCTCAAAGTTAGTTAACCACGTTCGTGTTATATTTTACAGGGTTCAATCGAAAACAATTTACTACACCTGTTTCATATTTTACGGCGCTTCTTTTATATATTGTATTCGACTATCTACGCGCTTTATTTGGCCTCTCTTAGTACAATAATAATTCAACTTGAGTACTAATCGCTTAGATGAATGTTTTTGTACTCTTGCTATGCATATATGATATATAATATAATATATAATTACTCATTTGTAGAAAATACGAGTTCAAATACCGGTTCAATTCGTCGACGAACAAAATATCTCTGTTATCTCATTAAGCTTTATGTTACATACTCGTCGTGGATCGTATAACATTGCAAACTGTTATCTTATTAATACCTGTGATGTACCTATGACCAATACACTTATATTTGATTGTTTATAAAATTATATTTAATTTTTTTGTAATCGACATTATTACTCAATCGTGCTTCTCCAAAGATATATATATATATATTTATTATTATTATATGTGTATAATAATAATAATCTTTTATAATAACTTGTACATAATTTAACTAATTGGATTTTCTTATCTATGCGTTGAAAACCCCATTGAAACTAAAATTTAGGATATCTTTTTCTTCTTAAGTTTACGCAGTGTAAAGCGCTCTATTTACTGAAAATCAAACAATACAATGAAACTTTTTAAGTTTTAGCCTCGGTAAAATATTTTCTTGTTTTTGGCGACGTGCCGGTTGATTTATCATTTTGATGGGACCTTATATTACCTATGACTAAAATCTAGAGGTGTACATAATTTTTTTATTACTTGTGCGTAATATTATAAATAGGCACAAAAGAATTTTTCTATCGTCTGAATGGAACAGTTTTAACGATTTTATTTTTAAATGTTAATAATTAAATCGTAGAAACGGCCATTGATTATTGATCATTTTTAGCAAGTGGCAATTAAAAAAACATAAATGGTCTCATTAATTGACTCGCAGAAATTTCTTCTTCTCTTTAGCATATTAAAATGAATAATTTTACTCCAGTCATTTATAGTGCACTACATTTTTATTATTGCGTCGAGCTCATCACAGACAACTAACTTGGCGCCGTACTTTCCTTCGTCTTCGTTTTATCATCCAATTTCAACTATTCTACACCACATAGTGCCTGCTAAAAATTATTTGAAAAAATCAAATCACTCTTTATTCTATACTTGATTAAATTTAATTATTCATAAAATCTACAAATCTTTGCGATTTAAAATAACTTTTAATTTTTATCTTGCGACCTACAGAATCAATACACAAAAAATATTTTACTTTCAGAATAAATTTATAGCTATAATTTTAAAATGTTTACCGTTTTCTTTAGTCTTAATTAATCTGTTTATTGTTTTTTAGTGTAGTTTTCATTATCACTAACTAACTACATGTGAAACAATAATGAACATTACTGTTTGTTTTGTTTTTTTATAATCACCTAATTTTGCGCTAATTGCTATTTTATGCACTCTTCCGATCACGATTAAATAGTATTCAGATTTTTAGAATTGCTATAAAAATATTATCAATGTTTCAACGAGTTTCATCAATCGCAGTCACCAATTAAAATTAAGATAATTGATGTTACTTTGATGAGTTCATTTGTGAAAGAATTTAAGAGTTCCCAGTATATTGACAAATTTAGTATTATAAATGAATTTAAAGTTAAATTTGTTGAAACCGTTGTAAAATTAAATATTC